ACTACTGAGCAATGCCAGACCGAACTTCCCGACCTCAAACGTTGTGGGTGGGACTAAGTTCGGAATGGCACCCAGGCTAGTATTTAAATGACAGGTCCTGATCAAAATAAGATGTTTTACTTTGTTGTCTGAGATCAATTTAATCCCATCCAAATGAAGGGACTGACTAATCAACCCTGGTCCAAAAACAAAAACTTTCATTGATTCAAAATGACACAGTTGATTCACCTCAAACACCTTATAAAGATATATTATATGGTGATAGTAACTGTAGAGCTATTCATATAGACATGCTGTTGGTGAAAATTTGCAGCAAATAAACCAGGAATAAAAGCAGAATGCAAGGAAAAGATATGTTAAATATAGACGTGTTTAGTTGGTTTTCTTTTATATCTGGCTTATTTTTCTTGCTAAGAAAACCATTATGGCATATTAGTAAAAAAAGTATATATGCAATTAGACAAAAAATGACTAAAAATTGTGGAATTTCAGACCTTCAAAGGGAGAGTTGTATTCACGAATCTCAATCTGACTGCTCCTCTCTGAGTGCCTTGATATAAAGAATAGAAAAATATTATATTTAGAAAATTAAATTAAACACAGAAGAATAAAACATTTTTTTTTATCAATATTCTGTAAATAAATGAAAATGTGAGGAACTGACCTGAAGCAGAATAAACCTGTGAAAAAGACGTTTGAGTTACTTTGATGAAATGAAATTTGAACTAGTTGAATTAAAGGGGTTTTAATCTGATCCAATGTGAACAGAAACAGGTCTCACCTCTGGACTGACTGCAGCGCTACAACAGGAGAAGCAGAACAACAAGAACGATCCCAGAAACTGGTACAATGATCCACAAGAAAAAAGAGCTGAAGGGACTGGACACAGCTGCTGGAAAACATACAATTAATATGAAAAGATTTTATTAATCTGAGCATTCCATCACATTATTCTCAATATCAGAAAATGGATCTTCTATCCAGACAAATAGAATCGTATCTCACCAGATACTGACAGGATGATTGATTCACTCCACTCTGTTGAAGAATACCAG